ACAGGTTCAACACCCCTATTGTGTTTGCTCACAGACAGAGAAGACTAATGACAGATGTCATATAGAAAACTACTCCCCTCCCTGAAAAGACTCTCTGCTCTTCTTACAAGAGTGGCATACCTACTACACTTGTTTTGTGAACCTCTGGTTCAGTTCCAGAAAAAGAATCTGAAAGGTCATCAAAAAATTGTTCCATATCCTTCAATTCGCCTTCAGCCATCAGTTTGATTCTGAATGAGAAAATTGAGGTGCATATTTTAGGAAGTCCCTTTGAACATCTGCCCAAGATTCAAATTCTTCCATTACCTACAATAAGCCTATTTCCAAGGCGATTCAGAGATTGCTATAAAACTGTGGCACGTAAAATAAACTTCATAACTAAAAAGGTCACTCCCCATATTTTTAATAAACATGCAGTGCTGTTTTTTTAAATCATAAAATCTCTCAAAGTAGCCTATCATAAAAAGGAGGTAGACCCATATTGAATATGAAAAATAAAGTTGCGAAATTATATGTTTAATGTTATACGTTTTTCAAAAAAATAAAAACAAAGGGAAAGATAGGGGGAACAATGACTTTTTTTTTAATTACCACACACCCTTTGTGCTTTTCATCCACCTCGATGCCTTTTTGTACATACAGAAAAAAATGAAGTTTACCTGATCTGCACTGAATTTGCCAGCTGAGGACAAGATTCTTCAATTAACTTGTATAGTTTTGACAGTGTAATATCGGGACCCTGAAAAAAGGAGAAAGGAAAGTTACAGGTAAATAGTGAAGAGCTGAGACAGTTAAGGATCTACAAACTCAAATTCATTTACTCACCTCTCTGCTTTAACAATCATTCTAAACATGAGTTCTCAAATTAAGATTTTCCAATCTAGGGCTGGGAAGGTGGCTCAGTGGTAGAGCGCTTGCCTTGCATGCCTGAGGCCCTGGGTTCGATTCCTCAGCACCACATAAGCAAAAAGAAAAAAGCCAGAAGTGGCACTGTGGCTCAAGTGGTAGAGCGCTAGCCTTGAGCTGAAGAGCTGAAGGACAGCGCCCAGGCCCAGAGTTCAGGCCCCACGACCGGACCAAAAAAAAAAAAAAAAGTTACAATCAGGGCTGGGAAGGTGGCTCAGTGGTAGAGCGCTTGCCTTGCATGCCTGAGGCCCTGGGTTCGATTCCTCAGCACCCCTTAGCAAAAAGAAAAAAGCCAGAAGTGGCACTGTGGCTCAAGTGGTAGAGCGCTAGCCTTGAGCTGAAGAGCTGAGGGACAGCGCCCAGGCCCAGAGTTCAGGCCCCACGACCGGACCAAAAAAAAAAAAGATTTTCCAATCCATCCAAATCACCTTAGTGATATTTCACACTTGGATATTGTTTTTCGGTAGGTAGGCAGTGGAATGGTGTAAAATGGAGGGAAAAAAGCACAGGATTTATAGAACATGTCTTCCCATCTTTGTAATCATGGCAAATTTAAGTTCTTTGAGTGCCTCCCCACCCCCTTCCCAATGTGTCCTTAGCAGTTTATAAAGAAGGTACTTAAAGCAGGCACTGGTGGCTAACAACTGTCCTAACTACTCTTAAGGCTGAGATCTGATTATAATGGTTTGAAGTCAGCCAGGCAGGAAAGTCTATCTTTAATTAATCACCCCAGAAAAGCTAAAAGTGAAGCTGTAGCTAACTTCAATGCTAACCATGAGCAAAAAAGCTCAGGGACACACTAGTGTGCAGGCCAAATTCAAGCCCCAGGACTAGCACACACACAAACAACAAAGCACGGTGCAGAAGAGTGTATACCTATAATGTGCATAATTACATCCATCTAGAAAGACCCATTCAAATCTGTGACCCAACAAATACATGTATGAGTCAATATTAATGATCATCTCTAAAAATACTGGATGGCATGGAGCACCATCATCACCTTCCATTCCATCAATATCCGCATTACTTTAAGGTTTTTGTTTGTTTTTTTAAACAATAAACCTATGTGGACTGGTTGAGTGGTTCAAACAAAATAATTTTAATTTTAAAAGTCAAAGAGTAAAGCAATTTAAGTCTGGTTGGAATGTTACTAATTTTATATGCACTTTGATCAAAACCATATAGTAGTTACACAGTCAAGGAATTAGTATTCCATACAGAAAATTTTTTTAAAAAAAATTAAAAATGTTGTGTTTAGGAAAATGAGAACTGAGGGGAAAAAACCATGAAAGTGTTTAACACACAGCGCCTGATCCACACTATTAATGCTTTAATTACAATTCTCTAGGGCAAGAAAACTGTGTTGTATGGATGCATCCCGGTGTCCCCAACGCCCAGGACTATAATTGGTAGGCCGAATTTACAGAAGACAGAGGATCTGAGATTGTAACGCTGCTCCAATCACTCACAGAGTAAACAGTGGAGCGAGACGCGAACCTGCAAAAGAAACGCAGCCGGGCACCCGGGCCCAGCTCGTGTCCCACCCCGCGCCACCCCCGCGCCCGCAGGTTCCGCTAGGCCCGGGCGGTGGCCCGTCCCGCGCCGCGCAGGCCCTCGCCCAGTCTGCTGCAGGCGTGCGAGCCGGCGGGCGCCCCTCACCTGCAGCAGCGGCAGGAGCAGCTGGTTGAGCTTCCGCCGCTCCAGGAGGCTGACGGCGCCCTCGCCCGTGCGGCCCATCTCGTTCAGCAGCACCAGCACCGCGATCTTATATGGCGTCACCCAGTCCTTGATGCCAAACACGTTGGCGTGCACCACGCCGTTGGTCATCATGGGACTGAAATTAGGCTTTTGTGGACGCTCGCCATGGCGGTCCCTCCGAGAAGACTGAATCTCCTCGGAGGGACCGCCACGCGTAGCGTCCAACACTCGCCTTAGGCCATCTCGCAACCCGCCATACCACAACCCACCCTTCACTTCCGTCCGCCAGAGCAATAGCCCCGGAAGTTGGCGATCTTCTGCTCGCAACGTGCTGACGACCAATCATAGAACACAATAGAATGATGCAGCCAATCAGAATGCCCAGAAGCGCGGTGAGGGGTGGGGCAAATGTAATGTACCAGAGCCTGATTCCCTATAAAAACATTTGCCAAAGGAAAAGCGTTTTCTCTGTCGACGTGGAAAAGCAGAGTGGAGAGTCGTATCCTGAGTTCAGGGCCTGAAGGGTTTGAGAGGTGTTTGCCTCCGTTTCTTCATTTAACTTGAAAACAGTTCAAATTGCACTTAAAAATGATGCAGGGCTGGGAAGGTGGCCCAGTGGTAGAGTGCTTGCCTTTCATACATGAGGCCCTGGGTTCGATTCCTCAGCACCACATAAGCAAAAAGAAAAAAGCCGGAAGTGGCACTGTGGCTCAAGTGGTAAGAGAGCTAACCTTGGAAAAAAACAACAACAACAAAAATGATGCAGTATATTCAAACAAAGACTTCATTTAGCGCCTTTGTCTTTTAATTTGTTCAACTTTATTTGTTTATTGCCGGTCCTGGAGCTTGAACTCGGCCTGGGCACTGTCTCTGAGCCTCTCTGTGCTCAAGGCTAGCACTCTACCACACGAACCACAGCACCACTTCTGGCCTTTTCTGTTTATGTGGTACTGAGGAATCGAACCCAGGGCCTCATGCATGCCAGGCAAACACTCTACCACTGAGCCACCTTCCTAGCCCCCTACATATCTTTTTTTTTTTTTTGGGTCCGGTCGTGGGGCCTGACCTCTGGGCCTGGGCACTGTCCCTCAGCTCTTCAGCTCAAGGCTAGCGCTCTACCACTTGAACCTCAGCCCCACTTCCGCCTTTTTCTGCTTATGTGGTGCTGAAGAATCGAACCCAGGGCCTCAGGCATGCAAGGCAAGCACTTTACCATTGAGCCACCTTCCCAGCTACATATTTTATACTTTTTTTTTAATGTGACGGTCTTGAGGCTTGAACTCAGAGCCTGGATGCTGTCCCTGAACTTTTGTGGTCAAGGCTATCATCGTACCACTGGAGCCACTTCTGGCGATAAGATAACGGAGTCTAATGGAAGGGTGATCCTCAGATCTCAGCCTCCTGAGTAGATAGGATTACTGGCGTGAGCTGTGGATGCCAGCCAATCCTACTGGTAAAGACTTATTCTAGGGGCTGGGAAGGTGGCTCAGTGGTAGAGCGCTTGCCTTGCATGCATGAGGCCCTGAGTTCGATTCCTCAGCACCACATAAGAAAAAAGCCGTTAGTGGCGCTGTGGCTCAAGTGGTAGAGTGCTAGCCTTGAGCTGAAGAGCTGAGGGACAGCACCCAGGTCCAGAGTTCAGGCCCCACGACCGGACCCCCCCCCCAAAAAAAAGACTTATTCTATTGCGTGCAAGTCTGGTCCTAGAGGAGGCTCGAGGTCATCACAGAGTGTGGCTGGCGCAAAAGTTTTTCCGAATAAAATCCGAGGCCCTGGATATTTTTGTTGTTGTTGTTTTGTCGGTGTGGGTCTTGAACTTGGCTTGGACGCTGACCCTCAGCTCTTCGGGTGAGCGCTCTGCTACTTGAGCCACAGTGCCACATCCGGTTTTCTGAGTGGTTAACTGAGATCACCGGATCCTCAGATCTCAGCCTCCAGAGTAGCAAGGATTACAGGCGTGAGCCACCGGCACCGGGCTCCTGGATGGTTTTTAACAAAAGCCTTCAAACGACCTTGTTTTCAAATTCAACGCTGGTCTTCATGCCTCCCCGCCCCTCTTCCAGAGAACTTAACCACCCACCCCACAGAGTCAATGGTGCCCAGACGATTGCGCTGGTAAGGAACCCATTTGCACCTTCCAACTGAGAAAACGGCGCCTCCCGCCACGCCCGGGCCCGCCCAGGCCAGCTCCAGACCTCCCGCGCCCACCCAGCTGAGCTGAAAGCCCCGCCCAAGCCCCCAAGTTTTATTGGTTCCCGTGCCCGGCCCCCTCAGTGTACGCTTCTGATTGGTCTTCTTGGCCGCCGTTCTCTCGTCTTGCGGGCGGGTCGTGCGCGGGGCGTGGCCACGCCCATTACGTCGAGACGCTCAGCGGCTTTCGGGAGGCACCGTAATCGCCACCTTCTGGAAGGAAGGAGGTCGGCTGTTAGGAGCTGCTATGGTGCTGAATCCCCTGGCAGAGCCGACCGAGCCGAGGTGGTCGTGGCCATGAAGGTGAGGGGCTAGCGGAGCCGGGCAGGCCCTCCCCGCCTCTCCTGTCCGGTCGGGTCTCCCGGAGCGCCTCCTCTCCGTGTGTGTGTGTGTGTGTGTGTGTGTGTGTGTGTGTGTGTGTGTGTGAACGGTTTCCCCGCCGGCTCCTCAGAGACCTCCGCCGGTGGGGCCGGGGCCCGAGCCCGCCCGGGGCCTCTCAAGCTCCCACAGTGACCCCCTCGCGAGGAGAGACCGGGTCGCCGGCCTTCGCGCCTGGGGGAGGGGTCCCCGCACGCCGGCCGTCAGCACTCGCTGAGGGCCCGAGGCAGACCGGCTGTGCTCGCCGGCGCCCCGAGCCTGCGCCCACGGACTGCCCTCCGCCTCCACGAGTCCTTGAGCTAACCCGAGGGGGACGTCTTGGGGACCCTAGGAGGAGAAAGAGCGTCATGCAGCAAGGATGAGGTTGGGGCTAGGAGAACAAATGCCTCGGGGTGGGGGTTCAGACCCCTCCCCCCGGAGTTCTTGGGGGATGGGGGCGTTTAACGTGACCTAGAAGCGCGCGTCTGCGCCGCCACTAGGTACGCAGCAAGTAATCTGGCAGTTTTTCTCCAAGGTGGGTGTGAAAATGTGGGAGCACCACCGGTGAGAAGTTTCAGGGAACCTGGCGAAGCGGGGAGGGTGTTGGTGATAGTGGTGATTTTGGCCCACTTTGAGGAGATGATTGTCTCTACTTGATCGCTGGGAGTTTTGAGGAGCTCTTTATACAACAATCAATCCAAGTATTGATTCTTTTGCCCAACTCAGACCAAGTGGAATGAGTCATAAAGTGATGATACACTTCCAGACAGACGGTTTCATTAATCTCAACGAAGTGTATTTGATGTGGGTAAGGAAAATAAAAGATGAGCTGCTAGATGAGCTGCGCTCTTCACAACATTGCCCAGGACTCACTATGGAGGACTGAAAAGAAGCGTCACATGGCTAGAGAAATCCAGCAAATATTTTGTCAAACACCTCCTCTGTATTTGTCAAGTGGTAGTCATGGTGAGTAGAAGTAATTCAAAATACAATACTACTCTTTAGGAAGGACTTTTCCAATCAAAAGAAAAAAGACTTGCTGGGAGCCAGTGGCTCATTCCTGTAATCCTACCTACTCAGGAGGCTGAGATCTGAGGATCGGGGTTCAAAGCCAGCCCAGGCAGGAAAGTCCATGAGACTCTTATCAACAATAAACCACTAGAAAACCGGAAGTGGCGCTGTGGCTCTAGTGGTAGAGCGCTCGCCTTGTGCTGAAGAGTGCAGGGACAGAGCCCAAGCCCAGAGTTCTAGCCCCATGACTGGCCAAAAAAAAAAAGAAAAGAAAAAAAAGACTTGTCAATAGCCACATTACAAAACAGAATGGTATAGAGAGTATTAAAAAAACAAACAAATAGCTCACACCTGTAATTGTAGCTATGCTGGAGGCTGAGATCTGAGGGTAGTGGTTAGAAGCCAGCTGGGGCAGGAAAATCTGTGAGACTCTTATCTCCAATATCCCACCAAAAGCTGAAAGTGGAGCTGTGGTTCAAGTGGTAGAGCACTGACCTTGAACAAAAAAGCGTAGAGATAGTACCTAGGCCCTGCATTCAAACCCCAGTGTCCCAGGACTAGCACAAAAACCACAACCCAGGAGCAAGAAAAGATGCCTCTCACAGGAGAAAGCAACTTTTTAAAAAAAGTTAACTTTTTTGTGTATGTGCCAGTACTGGGGCTTGAACTCAGGTTCTCAAGATCTTGCTAGAGTTTTTGCTCAAGCCTGTACTCTACAGCTTGAGCCACACCTCCACTTCCAGCTTTTTTGCTGGTTAATTAGAGATGAGCATCTAAGAGTCTGTGAGAATCATGGTTGGAATCCAGCCCAGGAAGACAATTCCAAGAGACTCTTTATATTCAGCTGACTAACACAATGCCAGAGTTGGCTCCAGTGGTAGAACTCCAGCCTTGAGTGAAAAGGTTCAAGCCGAAAACACACACACACACACACACACACAGAGTTCCATGCATATTTCATTCAAAGAAACAGTTTCAGTAGGATATTATTTTCTGTTCTAAAGAGCATATTTCTTGCCAGGTGTCAGTGGCTCACGCCAGTCATCCTAGCTGCTCAGGAAGCTGAGATGTGAGGCTCACGGATCAAAGCCAGCCTGGGCAGGAAAGTTCATGATACTCTTATCTATAATAAACCACCAGAAAACCAGAAGTGGCACTGTGGCTCAAGTAGTAGAGCACTAGCCTTGAGCTGAAGGGTGGAGGAACAGCGCCCAGGCCCAGAGTTCAAGCCACACAATCTATTAAAAAAAAAAAAAAAGAGCATGTTTATCAAGTACTTCTAAAGAGGATAAAGATTTTACTTATTATGACCATTGTTTCTTCTGTCTGCTTTTAAGTTTTATAGGAAGTTTGATCTAACTGAAATTTATAAAACAAGTTATTGCTGGTGCTTTTGCAACACAAGGTTATTCCAGAATCTTAGCAAAGTGAAAGTTATCTACTATAACAAAACCTATAGTGTGCAAACAGCTAAGTTCCCTGATCTTAGAATATTGTTCCAGGCATACATTTGTGTGTGTGTGTGTGTGTGTGTGTGTGCGTGTGCGCGTGTGCGTGTGCGCGCACCAGTCCTGGGCCTAGGCACTATCCTTGAGTTTTCTTTGCTCAAGGTAGTGTTTTGCCACTTGAGCCACTTGCCACTTCTGGCTTTTTCTGAGTAGTTTATTGGAGATAAGAGTCTCACAGACTTTCCTACTTTTTTGGTTCTTCACAGTATGATCCTCAGATCTCAGCCTCCTGAATAGCTTGGATTACAGGCATGCGCCACCCCCCCAGCTTATTCTTTTTTGGTTTGGAATCTGGCTGTCTTCGCACATTGTTGTTGTAACATCTTGGTTCACATGGTATATCCTTTAGCGTCCTGCTGTCAATGGGGTCCCAAGTAAGGCAGGTCAGCTTTTAGCAATGTGGACTTTGGTTTTTCTCACAGAGACTGATAGATTTTTTTTTTTTATTGAACAAAAGAGCTAGATGGTGGGCATGGTTGTGTGTACCTGTAATCCCACCACTTGGGAGGTGGAAAGGAGAGGCTGGATATTACCAAGGCTGCTGTCCTACATCTGTAATCCTAGTTTCTAAGGAAGCTGAGATCTAAGGATCTTCGTTCAAAGCTAACCAGGGCAGACAAATCCCTGAGGCTCCAGTTAACCAACAAAAAGGCAGAAGTGAAGGTGTGAGGCTCAAGTAGTAGAGCCAGCCTTGAGCTTGTCCAAGAATGAAAGGCCCTGAGCTCAAATTCCAGTACTGGTACAAAAAGAAAGCAAAAGAAAGCAAACAAGGAAGGAAGAAACATTTGGATCTGGTTGGGGGAGCATGGCTCAAGTATGCCTGGCAACTGAGTCTCCTGACTGCAAACTCAATACTATAAAAACACAACAGACAACAATTTCCATTCTTGATAAATTTCAGTATTTTAGTAGTGTGACATTACCTCGAATAGAGATAAAATAAAAAAGCATTTTCGTTGGCTTCTTGGCCAGCCACATAATGGCGGCACTAGAGGCTGGGGACAAAGCATCGCATGAATCAGGAGTGAAAGCAGGTAGGGCCGTTTAATTGTGCAGGAGCCTGATCAGGTGGCTGCTGAAGCTTCCTTAGAACTTTGCTGCTTCAACTTGTGCGATGAAGAGAGTTTACCAGGGTCCTGCGGTTGAGGGATTCCTCTCCTCCCCCACACAGTTACTGCAAATTGAAACTTGCTTTTCTTTTTTAATCTTTTAAATTATCTTTAAGACCAAGTACAAAGGGAACTCAAGTCTACATTGAAATTTCCCAAATGAAATGTTCTCAGTTGTTTGTGAGCTGACTTTAAGGACCTGCAGATGAACTTTCTTAAAAGAACAATCTCTTTAACTGTTAGCACATCTTGATTTTCGTGCTTTTATGTTTAAGCTTTAGAGTCTAAGGTATGGCCTATTAATTAGTTTCACCTCACTTTTAAAGGCATCACTATTTCTCGAAAATTATAGAGCACAAAGCCATGTAACGCTTAAGCCAATAGCCTTGATACTTAAGGCTGTTTGAACCTTTTTATTGGAGTTCTCTTATCCTTTCGCTATACTTAATATGCCATACTGTACCAAACCATTACTGCCTCTGGCAGTACAACAATAGCATTGACCTCACTAGCATGCAAATTGTCCTTTAGGGCTGCCGTTTAGAAAATGAGCTTGTTGGATAGCTAGTGTTTGGCAGTCAGAGAGTTAATGGTATCATATGCTGCTATTGTAACTGATAATACCTCTGTCTGGACATCCAATACTTGTCACTGTATCTGGATTCTAGAATATGAATAAGAATGGCAAGGTACAAAAACCAACTGGTTCCAGCGTGGGTCTGTGGTCAGTTTTACATTTTAAGCATGGGAAAGTGCCATTGGACCTCATTGATAGCTACTTCTATTTTTGTTTTTGGTGGTGGTTGTGGGGCTTGAACTCTGGGCCTGGGCGCTGTCCCTGGGCTCTTCAGCTCAAGGCAAGCGCTCTACCACTTGAGCCACAGCACCACTTCTGGCTTTCTGGTGATTAATTGGAGATAAGAGTCTCACAGACTCTCTTGCCTGGGCTGGCTTTGAACCATGATCCTCAGGTCTCAGCCTCCTGAGTAGCTAGGATTACAGGTGTGAGCCACCAGCGCTCGGCTGATAGCTGCTTCTTTAAGAGACCGTGACTTCAGTGAAGGTGAACTTGTGCTGCTCTAGGTGGGGAAGGATAGCCACAATGATTCACAGAAAAGAAACAGGGAGAGCATATTTGTTTTGGGGTGTGCAGTGGCAGGGCAAATGGCCTTCATACTGGGGTGGCCTTCCAAGTAAAGGTCCTTGAAAATTATGTTTAGTTCAGTTTGAAAGGCAGCTGCTGATGTAAAAGTGCCTTCCTTGATGTTACATTAGTATATTCATAACGAATTGGAACAGCCAGGCACCAGTAGCTCACCTATTATCCTAGTTACTTAGGAGCTGAGATCTGAGGCTCATGGTTCAAAGCCAGCCCCAGCAGGAAAGACCATGAGACTCTGCTAATTAATCACCCAAGAAAGCCAGAAGTGGAGCTGTGGCTCAAGTGGCAGAGCCAACCTTAAGAAAGAAAAAAGCCCAGGGAAAACACCCAGGCCTTGAGTTCAAGCCCCAGGACCAGCATGAAAAAAAAAAAATTGAATCAGGGCCAGGTGAGGTGATGCTTGCTTAAGGAGGCTGAGGCAAGATGGTGAGTTCAAAGCCAGCCTGGCTCCATGGAGACCCTGCCGCAGAAAACATCTTTTCCCTTTGTTCAACAAGCTACCATTCGTATTTCTTTTCATTATTATTATTATTATTATGTAGTTGTACAAAGACCATTAGTATTTCTAATGCCAAAATCTTCTTTGGAAATACCACAACATCATGTTTCCAAATAGCTTGAAATGTTGGAGCCTAGAGGAATACAGGTTGAGTATCCTCTGGAAAATGCTTAGGACTAGAAGCCCTCAATTTGAACATTTGCATTTGGGGCTAGTTGCTCGGGCTTTGTCTGGGAGGCATTCATTATTTGAAAGTCTGCAGTGCTCCCCCATCTGCAGCGTGGGGTCTGTGGACCCGCGGTGTGGGTCCTGCTGCTCTGGAGTTCTGAGCACGAGCTGCCTGTGCAGCAGCCGCTGTGGCGCGCGCAGCCTCACCCGTGGCGCTTGTGCTCCTTTCCAGGCGGGCGCCACCTCCATGTGGGCTTCGTGCTGTGGGCTGCTGAATGAAGTCATGGGGAGCGGAGCTGTCAGGGGCCAGCAGTCAGGATTTGCGGGGGGCACCGGCCCCTTCCGGTTCACACCCAGCGCGGACTTCCCTGCCTACCCGCCCGCAGCCGCGGAGGGGCCCAACATAGTGTGCAAAGCCTGCGGACTTTCATTTTCAGTCTTCAGAAAGAAGGTAAGGCGGATGAAATGTTACCAAGGACACACAAAGCTGAGAGCTTGTGGCTGTAGGAACTTTGCATCGCTGATGAGTCTTCTTTTGCTTTTATAGAAACATTAAAAATGAGTGTCCTTAGCAATTTCCCAGTTAGAACAGGGTAGCTGGATTTTGTTATGTTTTTCTGAATGGACATTGATTGGCAGGTGTGTGATTTCTCCTTTTGTGCCATTTCATTCTTCCTGTTGACACTCTTTTTTTTTTTTTTGGCCAGTCCTGGGGCTTGAACTCAGGGCCTGGGGACTGTCCCTGAGCTGCTTTTGTTGAAGGCTCCCCTCTACTACTTGAGCCACAGCGCCACTTCTGACTTGTTCTGTATATGTGGCACTGAGGAATAGAACCCAGGACTTCATGCATGCTAGGCAAGCACTCTACCTCTAAGCCACATTCCCAGCCCAGACCCTCATTTGTTGAAGCAAGAGATTTAACTAGCCTGCAGTTCGGTTCAGAGGAGATTCACTCTGCTTTCTGGCTCACAGGAGCAAGGTTCTGGCCTCTGGCCGAGGATGGCCTCTTGCTGTCTCTCTGTGGTTCTCTCAGAATCATTTGGGTTGTGCGCAAGGCTGAGTGGGTAACAGATTATGGCATTTCGTGGATTCCTGTGTTCCCTTGCGTGACTTTGAGAGGTCAGTTGGCTTTCTGCTTCCTTTGCTGTCTGGCTCGCTTTCCTCTCTGGATGGGAGAAATGCGGGAAGGGAGTTCATGGGTGCTGCTCTCCCTGTGGCTCGTCAGCTTGGTTCTGCTAATTACATGTTTGCATCAAGGGGTGGAAAGGTTTTAATTCATTAACACACGAGTGTATATTTTTCGTAAAGTGCTCTCTTTGAAATTCTGTGAATGGAAACTGCCTTGGCCGTGACTTTCGCTCTTCAGACTTTGGAAGACTAATATGCCTGGCAAGGGGCTGGGGCCAGGAGATGTCATAAAGGGCAACATCGAAAGCCAAGGCACAGGAGAACAATGGTATTTCCATGGCGGCTATAACTTGCTCTCTTTAAATGGCTCTCTTGTGTCTATGCTCCAGCATGTGTGTTGTGACTGCAAGAAGGATTTCTGCTCTGTTTGCTCCGTCTTACAAGAAAACCTCCACCGCCGGTGTTGCACCTGTCACCTCCTGCGAGAGACAGCCTTCCAGCGGCCGCAGCTGATGCGGCTGAAGGTGAAGGACCTGCGGCAGTACCTCATCCTCCGAAACATCCCCATCGACACGTGCCGGGAGAAGGCAGACTTGGTGGATCTAGTGCTGTGCCATCAGGGCTTGGGCTCTGAGGACGAGCTGGACACGGGCAGCCTAAACTCCTCCCGCTCACAGACTTCTAGCTTTTTTACACAGTCATTTTTATCAAACTATACGGACCGCTCTGCTACCGTTTCTTCCTTCCCAGGAGCGCTCATGGATGGTGAGCAGACCTCCAGATCTGAGCTGCTGGCACAGGTATGCGGGCGCACTGCCTCATGGCCACGTGTGGTGGGGGCTCTGGCACCTGCTGCCTTGAGATGACCCTGGAGCATGCGCAGGAGCAGAGACGCCACAAGCAGCTGTGCCAGCACCCACGGACTGCTGGTGTGCGAGCTGTGCATGAGGTGGGGGGGGGCCGAGGCCTCTGTCAGAGAGGATCAAAAGCGCGCATCCATTTCTGGACCTTTGTTACCTCGGTTTCCCTGTTTTGTAAAGTTAAACACTAACTGGAAGTAATGACTAGAAAGGTAACGTGCACATTGGTAAGACTGTTCATGCTCTTGTCACTCACCTGAGAAAGCCACCGAAAAGCCCAAGTGGAGCTGTGGCTTAAGTGATAGAGCATTGGCTTTGAGCATAAGGGCCTAGGGTTAGTGCCCAGGCCTGAGTTCAAGCCCAAGGACTGGTGCACACATATGTATGTGTGTGCATGTATGTATACACAGTCAGTATACATGTGTGTATATATATATTTATTTATATAATGTATTTATACACATGCACAATAGTCAAAAGATAGGAAAGGCAGCATATAACTACAACTGTTTTCCCTAAAGAATAGCTGAGATTGTTGAGGAATTTTGAAGGCAGGACCTGCACTGGCCACCTGGGAGAGGCTGCAGAGCCTGTGCTAATGATTAGATGCAGGAGGTAGCGGGTGCACGTCTGTCAGTCGCAAGCTGATGCATGAAGATTCTGGCTGAATTAGCTTTCTCTCTGTGTGCAGTTCAGAGCACTAGTGAACCTGATGTCTCCTTGCTGCCACACCCTCATTCTGATGGTGTCCTACACATTTGCACCACTCTCCCGTCTTGGTGTTGTAAGAACTGGGAGGCGAGTGCTGGACGCAGCGCGGAGGGCGTGGAGGAGGCGCGCCGCGTGCCAGGCTTCGGGATCCGTGGGCAGGAGGGACGGGAAGCGTCCGTGTCAGTAGGTGTGGGTTCTGCTGGGCCACAAACTTGATTCCTCGCCTAATCATACCATCACCTGTGCAGGGACACAGTGACGCAGCCTCAGCAAACACAGGAGATGACGACAACGATGAAGATGAAGATGAAGATGAAGATGACGACGTGGAGGAGCAGGTGAGGCGCCCTGGGAGGCCGCCATGGGGACCCGGTTTCTGCTGTAGGCTCCTCAGGGTGTGCTGGGCGCGGGGCGGGCTGGTGACCACGGAGGGCGCCCCGAGGGCCTGCCGCAGCGGTCACAGGGGTTCTGGTTTCAGACCCCCGGGCTCTCTGTGAAGAAAGTGAGGGCATCGCTGTCGGACCTGTCAAGTCTGGACGGGGTGGAAGGGATGAGCGTGCGTCAGCTGAAGGAAATCCTGGCTCGGAATTTTGTCAACTATTCAGGCTGTTGTGAAAAATGGGAGCTGGTGGAGAAAGTAAACCGGCTGTACAGAGAGAATGAGGAAAACCAAAAGTCATGTACGTATGTTCCGGGTCAGTGCTGCTAGCCGTCAGGTTGTGTGTGTGTGTGTTGTGGGGGCGCTGTACTGAGAGTTGAATTCAGTGCCTGGGTGCTCTGGGTGCTCTCTGCTTAAGGCTGATGATAGACCACATGAGCCACAGCTCCACTTCTGGCTTTTTCTGGCCAAATGCCATTTCAGTTGGTGATGTACATCTAATTCAAACAGATGGGGCTTCTGGCTCTGGTGGTTCATGCTTGTAATCCCAGCTACTCAGTAGGCTGAGATCTGAGGACTGTGACTCACAGCCAGCTCAAGTGGGAAAGTTCATGACGATTCTTATTTCTAATGTACCACCAAAAAGCCGGAAGTGGTGGAGCGCTAACCTTAAGCAGGAAGACTAAGGGACAGCACCCTGGCCCTGAGTTCAAGTCCAGGACTGGCACCAAAAATAAAAATGTAACAAGGCCTCTGATACAAAGGGGGTGACCCCTTTGCTCCTGGCTGCTTGGTCATCCCTGGTCTCCCCACCGGTGTGGAATGAAGTCTTCTTCCTACTGGATGAGGCTCCAGGGCTGCCCCTTCCTCACCGCCACTCCGACGCAGCCTCTGAACTGAAATCCCGACTCCAAGCCCCGTGTGTAGACAGCTAGGGTTTGTGTGTCTTTCTTCTAAATACATCAATAAATCATAGCCCCCTTAAGTTTTGCCGTGACATAAAATAGAGCTAGCTAGCGTGACCTTCGCTGGGCTCGTCTGTCCTGGCCTCAAGCCCAGCCCTTCACATTTAGTCACTAAACCCCAAGGTTCATCTTGGAGGTGCAGCTCAGGTGTGGAAGAGTACTTGCCTAGCTGTTGTTATAAGACCCTGAGTTCAAAGTCCAGCCCTACCCTCTAGAAAGAAAAACTGGAGCATCTGCAGGAAGGACCTGACCTGGAGGTGTGGAGCAGCATGCAGTGCCTGCCTAGCAAGAGAGAGGCCGCCCTGATCTCACACCTCAGGAAAAAAAGTCCTAAACACATCTACGGGCCCGTGGTGTAGCTGTGGTCAGGGCCCGGCCTGGCTGCCGGCCTCTGCTGTGGGTGGTGCGGCTCGGCGCCGCGCGGCTGCAGCCCCTGCTCCCGGTTGCCTTGCAGATGAGGAGCGGCTGCAGCTGCAGGATGAGGACGATGACAGCCTGTGTCGGATCTGCATGGACGCCGTCATCGACTGCGTGCTGCTGGAGTGCGGCCACATGGTCACCTGCACACGCTGTGGCAAGCGCATGAGTGAGTGCCCCATCTGCCGGCAGTACGTGGTGCGGGCTGTGCATGTGTTCAAGTCCTGAACGCCCTGCTCTCCTACCGTGGCGCCTGGCCCGAACCCTTGAGTGCATAGGAGGAACTGGAAATAACACTGCTCAAAGGCTATTTTTTCACGATTTTCATTACTGGTGGGGACAGAGAGGCTCCTGGTGGGTGTGGGCTGTGGCCGGCGCTCCCTCGGCTGGGCCTTACCGGTCCCCAGGGCGCACTGGTGGCTGTGGTCATGGCGTTGGTGTTGGCGCTGTGCTGTGGAGGTCTCGCCCTGCGCTCTTCCTCTCCAGCCTGTTTGAAGAAGCGTCTGTTCTTTGGTGAGGTGAGCGCACAGCTCACAGGAGCCGACCCCTCTCGTTCTTTTAGTCAAGTATATCTTAATAATGCTCACATTTGATGAATGTACGTTTGCACATTGTTGCTGTGTCCGCATTTAAACATCACTGGGGCAACCGACATTCTGTAGTCCACTTGCCAGGGCCTTAGACTAAACATGGCCATTTTCGTTCAGCTTCAGCTTTTTATAGCAAGGGCTGCTTCTAGCTTCTTACATTAGAAGTGTGCGTGCTAAATTCTTTATTAATGTGCAGTCCATTTCCACTGTTTTGTATAGTGAAGGTGTATTTTTAGTGCTGCTAGCTAATTTCAACTTTAGGAATAAAATTAGATTAAAAAGATGCTCTTGTCTACATGGTCTCAGTGACTTCCTAACTCATATGTGTAGTGACAAGTTGTGCGCCGCCCTTCAGGGGTCGCCGCAAGAAGTCCTGAGCAACTAGTGCAGTGCTGCCTTCCTGCTGCTTCCTGTCCTGGCTCCAGGTACCGTGACTCGGTCAGGCCAGCTGCTTGGTCCCCACTTTTCACTTTGAAACAGCTAAGGCCTCCTTCTGCATGCAGAGCCAGCTAAAGTCTCAGCTACAAAGTGCCTCTGCTGGGCTGGGGGGCAGCTCAGGGGTAGTGCAAGTACCTAATGCAAGTGCATTAAGTTCAAAGTGCATTGGGTTCAAATCCCTGGGGGTTCAAGGGGGGTATCTCAGAGTGAACCTAGTTCTGGCACCACTTCTTTTGACTCCAGTAGTACAGCAAATGAGAAACCTGAGACACTAGCTGATGCAGAAAGGATCTGACATTGCTTTTGGAAGTCCAGCCTAAGTCAGTGGAGACCAGCTGTGGATTCATCCTACTGGTGATGGGCATCTTGTTAAGAAATGGCTGACATGACTGGTGGCTAGTGGCTCACACCTGTGATCCTAGCGACTTTGGAGACTTAAGAGCTGTAGGGTCAAGGCCAGTCTCGACAGAAAAGTCTGCTAGGCTCCACTCCCAAAGTAACCAGCAAAGCAAAAAGTCAGGTTGGAAGTGCAGCTTAAATGGTAGGGCATCAGCTTATTAAGTGTGAAACCATGAGGTCATACCCCATACCTTTAAAAAGAAAATAGTCTTCACTCTAGGGCTGGAATATAGTTCAGGCAAGTCCTCTGTCCCACCCCAGCCCTCCCCAGAACATACCTCCATGTGTTCAGAGCCGCCAGTCAACAAATCCCCAAACAGCCATGGACCCGAGGCAGAAAGGGGGCTTTGGAACTAATCGCAGAAAGTGAAAGAAAAACACGTTCTGGGTTTGGGGAGTCGGAGCGTGCAGGCCAAGGCCTCCCGCCCGCGCCGTCTGAGCTGGGGGTCCCCCGGCCACAGTGGCCAACTTGAGACCTTTTTCTTTTCTTTGCCGGTCGTAGGGCCTGAACTCCGGGCCTGGGCGCTGTCCCTCAGCTCTTCAGCTCAAGGCTAAGCACTCTACCCCTTGAGCCACAGCACCACTTCCGGCTTTTTCTGCTTATGTGGTGCTGAGGAATGGAACCCAGGGCCTCATGCATGCGAGGCAGGCGCTCTACCACTGAGCCGCCTGCCCAGCCTTCTTTTTCTCTTTTCAGTGCCAGGACTGGGGCTTGAACTCAGGGCCTTGGGCTTTTATTTAGCTTTTTTTGTTAAGGGTGGTGGTGCTCTACTTCTTGAGCCACACTTCATCTTTCAGCTTTTTGCTGGTTGGTTGGAGATAAAATTATCTCAGATTTGTCTTCCTGGGCTGGCTTCAAACTGAGATCCTCAGATCCCAGCCTCCTCAGTAGCTGGGATTATAGGATGAGCCACCAGCGCCGAGCTCGTATGGACTGTTTCTTTGCCAGAAAAACAGCAGGAGTTTGACCCCTGCCAAAGCTGTTTTTGACTGCTTGTACTTCTCATGAGAGTGCACTATTAAAACATCATCCTTAAATCCCTAACTTGGTGGTAGGAAATTTATAAATTCAGGCCAGCAGATGATAGTAAACAAATTTAAATATAAGTTAGGTAGCAAGTGCTGATTTTGTCGTTTTAAATTTCAGCTTTATTTATACATGGTCTCAGCTTGTTTGCTTTTCTTTTAGGTACAAAAGCTTAAGATTTTTTATGGCAAGAGTAAAAAAAAAATTGATAGTAGACATTTTAGGTAATAGTTTGAAGTAACCCTGGCCTGGTGACTAGCCGTTTGTGTTTAGTGTTAACAGGCAGCTCTCTGCACCCATGGGAAATGGTCCTGGATTCAACCAGAATTAAAAATATGTGGAGAAAAACCGTACTGAACTTGTACGACTGTCCTTGTCCTTATTTCCTGGATGACACAGGGCAGCCACCTTGTGCTTGAGTGTACGGGTATTTGATAGCTCACGTCATCCAGAGGTGATTTGAGCAGGTGTATGTATACTGGGCAGAAGGCTCCTTAAGGTAGATTTTGCTATCTTGGTGGCGGAGGATTTGGGGCCAGGATCCTTTGGATACCAATGACAACTGCTACTTTATTTGCCTGAGAGTAGTTTCCCTGGAAGCTGTCATGCCATTGGTTGGTTTTTGAATGGGTGATGTCCTACGGGTAACACTGCTCCCACCACCGAGGAGTCACCTTGCCTCCGAATCTTCCTTTGCAAACACCAAGTTCCCTACAGGAAGGACCAGAGCCACGTCTTTGCTGCATTGGGAAGTTTAGTTGTACCACAAGTACATCTCACTACTGCAGACACAGCATGCGCACTCAGAACAGCTGTCTGTAACATGTGGCCTAGGCTGGCCAGACCCATCCAGACTGTGGGCTTCCGGTGACGTAATCTTAGTGGGCTGTCCAGTACTCTCGGTGAGCATGTGTGATCTATGCCCTGCTGTGGCCTTGTGTCTGAGATCAGTGATGTGTTGGTGTTTCGTGTGGACCCCCATCCACAGCAGCTCTGCCTTAGCGGCATCTCTTGCCGCTCCTGCTCCTCCTCCTCACAGGAGTGCTGCCTCTAATCTAAGCCAGGCATTAAGTAATCTCAGCTTGTAGCTTCCACCTGTCTCAGTGTCGGCTTCTACCAAGTGACAACCACAATCACCCTTACAGCAGTTCCCAAGGGGAGAGGACCACTTTCCCAAAGCAGGGGACATCTTATTAGGATGCAAGCAGAGTCTCCAAGCCTGCAGAGGTAAGCCAGTTTCGCAGGTGAACTACAGTGTTAACTAATTTTAATTCTGTCACAGGAGTTCTGAGTTATTTCAGTGGCTACATTGTTTCTAGTTGGAAGCAGAAAAGGGTCTTTGGATTTTTGCTTGGCCAGTCCTGGGCCCTGAACTCAGAGCCTTGAGCATTGTCCCTGAGCTTCTTTGGCTCGAAACTAGCACTCTACCACTTGAACCACAGGTCCACTTCTGGCCTTTTCTGTTTATGTGGTACTGAGGAATCGAACCCAGGGCTTCATGCATGCAAGGCAAGCACTCTACCACTGAGCCACATTCCCAGCCCGGGTCTTTGGATTTTTAAAACTGAGGATTGGCTGTAGATGCTCAGACCCACCAGAGCCATCACATTTGTACAGGAATGCAAGGCTGCAGGACCCTGTCCAAGTCTGGTCAACTCTCAGGGAAGGGTCAATGCCAAGGGGCCAGGAAGTCACTTGGCACAGGAGTAGTAAGAGGAAATGAGGCAGGCGAGCACTACCGCAGGGAGTCTGCTCCTAGCTCTATGCGTGGCTGTTGGAGCTTCCCATTTTTTCACTGGCGGGAAACTCGTCTCTTTCTAAAGAAGAAGAAGAAGGAAAAACTTAAAAATAGTCATGAACCACAAGGCACTGGGTGACCCAGAAAAGAGAAATTCTGTGCTTAGTCTCAAAATGCTGCGCGCCGGTACTGAGGCTCCCGGCTGCCGGCCGTTCCCTTTCCCCCAGCGGCGGTGCTGGTCACATCACACCCTGTTCCAAACACCAAAGCAAAAACCTTCAGACAAGAAGAGTGCTTGTTTTTTTTTGTACAATTATTTATACAAATTCAATAAAGCTAAAAACGGAAACAGGGAGGGCCTAGGAAACACCACTGTACAACAATGGCACTTAGATATGCAGAAGTTTACAACTAGGAACTAGCCAGGTCATGACCTAAACAAGAACTTAACTTACACTTCGAAGGAGAAAGAAGGGAAAGAAAGGCTGTGTGGGGACATTTAATCTACCTTTTGACTCATGGTATAAATTAGCCGGTGTAGAATACAAAAGCTCATGCTGGAGCTCACCCCTCCTGAGTGCAAAGGCTGAAGTCTGAATTGTGGAATTCTGAAGAAAAGATGAATTTTCTACAGAGGAAACTTGGCAAATTGTCTTCCTTGACTATAATTTACATTTATTCACAACATGCTCATGTAACTTCTTGCCATACAAAGCGGGCTCTCGGCTTCCAGTTAAGCATGCTTTTAAGAGGAAGGTCACAGCCCACCCTGTGTCATCTGTCCACATCTGTCCACGGCTCTGTGCTGCTGAAGTACAGGGTAAGTTCTATCCTACCTGAAGGAAATCAGGAATGATGGGAATCTCAAAACAATAGAAACACTGGTATGCAGTCAAACCTTGCATAAATAACCTTTAAACAATTTGTACAAAAATAGTTCTGCATAATGTAAGATGTAACAAAATCAAAGTAATTGTATCTAGACGGCAGCGGACATGGTGCGGACACCAGAAACCCGGCACGGCAAGGAACACGGCCGCCAGTGAGATGGAGCCCATCCAAAACAGACATACCACCAAGGGGAAGCTCTAGGCTTTAAGAGAATTTCTCTCTCCAAAGCGCAGCCTCCTCTCCGCCAGGAATGTCTTCTCTTGTAGCCCACTTGGAAACACTGACAGCAGCGCCTTCTCAACGCAGAAAGACTGGGGGGTCGTGTCTGGCTCGCCCATCTCCCCAAGGCATGGTGAGCGGCTTCTCCCTGGCAAGACTTGCAAGCTGGAATCGTCCTGTTGCTCCACGTCCCAAAGGGAAGGAGAAGCCTTGTTTCTCTCATAGTCTCTCTTGCCCTCTCTGCTGAAGACCCCCGCCGTAGTTACATACTTGGCCTTGGACTAACTTAGTTTTTGTAGGAGTTTTTCTTCCACTTGCCCAAATTGGACACTCACAGACATCTCGGCTATGAACTGCTCACAGCCTTCCTTGGTGACTTGCTTGCAGTACCTCAGGTCAATATGACAGATATTTCCACAGCGCTTGAAGAAGGACAGGCACTGGTCAGTGACCTTATTGCAGTCTGCGGGGAAGCAGAAATGACATGACGTGAGAGATGGCCACCGAGCCCAAAGGCCCCAAGACGCAGGTCCTGGAAACGAACACGAGGACAAGGTACTGCTGATGGCTG